CTAAACCCTGCACCTTAAACCCTGATACCCCTAAAGCCTACCTAAAACCCTAAACCCTAAATCCTAAACCCTAAACCCTAACCCCTTAATCCTAAACCCTAAACCCTAAAACCCTAAACCCTACACCCCCCTAAACCCTCAAACTTTCCCCTCGGGGCGGCCTCTGGGGCTTCTTCGACTTCTTGGCCAGAGCCCGCTTCGATCCGATGAAGATGGCATCCTCCGAAGGATTGGCTTTAGGGTTTATAGAGGGGTTAGAGGGTTTAGGCTTTAGGGTTTATATAGGGGTTAGAGGGTTTAGGGCCTGTAGGGTTTAGGGCTTTAGGGTTTTAGCATCCTCCGAAGGATTGGCTTTAGGGTTGATATAGGGGTTAGAGCATTTAGGGTTTAGGGCTTTAGGGCTTTAGGGTTTTAGCATCCTCCGAGGGATTGGCTTTAGGGTTTGTATAGGGGTTAATTAGAGGGTTTTAGGGTTTTAGGGTTTAGGGGTCAGTCATCCATTCAAGGTTTGGCTTTCGGGCTTATATAGGGGCTATAGGGTTTAGGGCTTATAGGGGTTTGGGGCTTAGAGCTTAGGGCTTAAAGGGTTTGGGGGCTTAGGGGTTTTGAAAAGGTTTGCTTAGTGCCTTTGACAAGGGCTGTTGTGCGGGCGTTCAAATGACTGATGCAGCTTGATAAGTTTTTCATATGGTCGGCTTGGTGGAAGCAGGGCTTGGGATGTGAGGGTTCAGGAGCCCAGCTACCTTGATGGGGTACCACAAGCCCTAACCCCTCAACCCTAAACCCAATACACCTCAGGGGTGCACTCATGGTTCAACATTAAGGATTTACGGGGCTTATAGATACCGGAGCCCTGCTTCAGGGTTTGGGTGTCTTAGGTCTTCTTGGCATGGGGTTGGGAGCAAGGGTTTTGAGTGTTGTGGGTGGCAGGTTTTGTAAGGTTTGGGGTTAACGGCTTGGGGCTCTAGGTTAAGGGTTTGGGTTTTTTGTTGGGGAAGGCTTTGGCATTTAGCTTGCAGGGTTTGGAAGTTCAGGAAGTACTTGTGATTTCTCATACGTTTCAGGGCATAGGCTTTTAGGGTGCGGCACCTGGGGACTGGGCCCAGACTATAGTTCAAGAAGCATTTGTGCTAGGGCCCGAGAGATCCTCCAGTACTATAAGAATGGTTTTTGTGGGCGATGCTATACTTTTCTATGCCTATAAGCGCGATACATTAGAACTATCAAGGGAGAGCAGTACTAGATACCCTAAACCTGACTCGTTTATTGGCAGCTGCCAGAAAGCTGGAAGATCACTCTCCTCGTGTCCCAGAAGTAGTCAAGTTTAGACACCACAAGCACTAACCATCGAGAAAAACACAGCCTTACGTTTCTAGCCCAAGGACCTAATGATTACCTGGACCCCCACCCCGCCCCAAAGTGTGTAGAGTAATACGTAGCCCGTTATTGGTATTGGGCTTTTTATTCTCCTCTTCAGGGAGGTTTAGGTAGGGATCTGGGATCCAAGAGGCCGCACTAGACAGGTTACTGGGTTTAGGGTTTTGGGGTTTTAGGGTATATGGGTTTTGGGTTGGGTGGAGGTACATCGCAGTGTGGTGTAGCGTCCCGCGCCCCCTCTGGGATCAACCGGCCAGGAAGTTTGCGACAAAGGAAACTAAGCCCAAAGCCTCATGAAAGGGCCCCCTCGAGCCTGAGCACAGTAATCTAGGAGCCTTTTTCTTTCTTTCCATAAGGCTCAAAGTCCAGTGGACGTGCCTATAGCTAAACGACGAATTCACAGGTGAAACAACAAGAGCAGTCTATCAAATCCGTGCCTCCCTGAAGCTCCAGTAACCACTCTGAAAAGGGGCTGATGGCATCCGCATTGACTGGAAAGGCAAGATGCACAGGTACGCCCGCAAGAGCTCGCTGGACCAGTTTCCCCGAGAGGTCAGTGACCCGCTCAATCCAATGCCTGTTCGCACGAAGAAGGTGCACAGGACCAGCACCAGGCTGGAAGAAAGAAGAGCACGGGGAGGGAGGAGGAGGGAAGTGGACGCAGAAACCGGAGGCCGAAGGAAGAGGCTCCGGAAAGGAGTCAAAGACAGGCAATTCGGCAGGAGGGCACAAGCCAAGGCCCCAGCGAGAAATCCAACTGCAAGCAATGTGCCCGCTCCAGAAAACAGGTCTGGGAGCAAATGGTCTCACAGGCTGCGGAGGGACGATAGCAGGGCAAAATTCGCTGGAGTCAAGTGGCTCAGCCGCCGGAACGTCTGCTTTGCCTGCGACCTTATCGCATAAGTGCTCTGGCCAAAGTACAAGAAGCACGTCAGCACAGGCAGCGATCAACTCGTCATCCGTCAGGCAAGCCTGCCATTCCTCAAGCGTTCGACGCAACACCGGGAGTGGGGCCACATGAGCTTCCACCAAGTCGAAGATCTGCTGATCCGTAGTTATGGTAGCGGAGCGGAGAGCATCATCAAGCTCAGGGCAGATCTCGTGGCCAGAATCCTCCGAACGTGACAGGCCTCCGCCTGGCTCAGCAGGAGCCTGTGCATGAGCTGTCGACATATCGGCATCATAAGGTAGCCCTGAAACAGGGGGACGCATTAAAGCACGCAAGCATCTACCAGAGTGCTTCAGATGCAAGCACAGTTTGGCAGAGTTGGCGAGAAGCAAACCACAAGCCCGACACCGTCTTCCCTTCGCAAGGGACTGAGCTGGGTGATGATACGCATGGGCTCTATGTGCATGAGCCCCCCATGCCTGTCTAGTGCAGAACGCTATGCGGCATGGTAAACAGGCCTGAGTGCACGCAGAGAGGTCCGGACCAGCACGAGGGGGAGCGGGCGGCCATACTGTACGGCCGAAGGTGGCGCAGGCAGCCCGTGTCTTGCAGGACTCGATGTGCCAGAGTTCAGCTCGTTTGATGAGCCCTTTGAAACGGCCCGGTGCAGAGACCATCAATTGCTCCCACTGAGACCAGGAAGTCTCAATATGCCCAAGCGCAGAGCAGCCTTGTACGGCTTCGAGGAGCCAAGCCGAGGCAGAACGCAACCCCTCCAAAAAAGCCTCAAAGTGCTGCATAAGTGCCCAAGCGAAATCGGGTCCAGAACGTACCATGAGCAGGAGGAAGCGCAACCGCTCGGCAGATAAGAGGGAACGCGGGCAAGGCAACCCGGTCCTGGCTAAAATCTGAATTTCAGTGACGCGCCATTCCTCAGCTCGCAGTCCTAGTAATTGCCGGTAAAGCGCAATTAGCCCGCCCGCAAAGAGCTTCCACTCGGACGGCCGGAGGAGTGGCCAAGTGCCGCAACCTGACAAAATCGCGGACAACACATGCGAACGGAAAAGGGCTGAAC